CCCCAAAACCCCAAAACCCCAAAACCCCATGTTTCTGTATACAATAGATTATAAATTTTTAAAAATGAATATGAACCCCAGAGGAGCTTACCAGGCTTCCTACCAACAACGCAACCGTGAAAAGCGTGAGAGGGAAAAGCTTCAACAACAGAACGATAAGAAAATGCAACAAATGCTCAAATCTAAATTTGATATGCTGCAAAAATTAGAGGAAGAAGACGGAGAGCTGCAATTTGATCCAGATGTCCCAGAGAAGGTACCTACAGTGAGAGCTCAGCAGCCAGGAATCAAGAAAACAAATAGCTTAAAGGGCCCAATAAGTAAATTCAGTGTATGAAAATATTATAGAACGGAAAAATAGTAGTAAATAAACCAACTGTAGCAAATCTTAGAGACAAAAATTCAAATTCCCGTCAACAAGATGATAGACCTGCTGTTGTGCTAACTTCAGGAAACGGCCTGGGACTATGGTGACATGCCAAGAAGGAAGCTTCAGTCTCAATGTACAACGAAGGCTCTAGTAACTCTCAATTACCTCCTATTCAAAATAAGTTGAATAGGCCAAGAAAAAGTGCGAATAGCCAAAGGAGACTCACTCCAAAACAGAAGCCAGTATACAACCCAGAAGTTGACAGAAGAGTTGAAACAAGTATGGTTCAGATGCTCGAAAGAAAAGTCACAGAGCTTTCTACAGAACTTGACCGTATGGAAATAGAGAAGCAAAAGATGGAATATGAATACAACATCATGAAAAGAGATAGTGACAAACTCCAATATGAACTAGACCAGTTCAAACAGGACAATGAAACATTAGTCGAGAAATCATACTTGCTCGACCAAAGAGATAGAGAACTTCAGCAAGTCAAACACGAACTCTCAGTGATTAAGGAAAGAGAGCAGAAGTTCAAACAAGATTATGAAAATGAAGCACAACAAAGGTCCCAAGAAAATGCTGAACATTCCTTCCAAATCAATGAGCTTCAAGAGCAGTTGCAAGAGTATGAAGATGAGCATCAGAACTTAATCAACAAAATTCGTGAGATGGAAGCAGCCCATGATGATTTAAACAACAGAGAGGCCTCAGCATCTAAAATTTCACCTGAAAAGTCTCCAATGAGGCCACCTAAAGCTTCAAAATCCCCAATCATGAATAAGGATCTGGATAACTCTCCTCTAAATGGTACAACGAAGCTTAATGATAGGGAAGAATCTGAAATAAATTCAAAAATAGACCCGAATGACATCAATGAACAAAAAGTCAGGACTCCTGAGCAACAAATTATTGAGCTGAAGAAACGCCTAAAGAGAGATGCTGATACAAGGAAATAAAATGCAAGTAGTCGGTAAGCCAATCCCTCTGACCCTTAGTTCAACACAAGGATGAGAACATTAGAGAGCTAAAGAAGGAAATAGAGAGTCTTAACACTCAGATCAAAGAGGAGCAATCTCAAAGAAAGAGGGTGAGCAACTCCAAAAGCCAGAAGGACAACAGGATCACTGTACTTGATAATAAGCTCAAGGAAGCTCTGACTAATGAGAAGCAGATGAAGAAGAAGCTTAAAGAGTATGAACAGAAAATTCAAGAACTTGAAGAGGGAAAGAAGGTAAGTATTCACTTCAATTCTTGGGCACCAAACAATTTTAGACATGCTTGGTATCGGCACTGAGGAATTTCAGTATTTTTATACCCATTTTAGTGTACTAAGTTGATATAGAAAACTCCTAAAAAGAAAGAAGTCAAAGATACAGGGCCTAAATTGTTTGGAGCCAATGAAGATGCACTGATCGATGCTCTATATGCCCCAACAATACCCTTAGCGAACAATCCTCAACTAAGGCAAAATCAAGGAGTTGATCAGTTTGGACACCATGATATTCCTCCTGCTAGGCCTAAGCAAGAGGAAGAAATAGTTCCAGTGAAAAAGATCCAAGACAGCTCCATCAAAGGACCTTTATTCGGTAGTTCTCCTGATTCTTTCGGATATGAAAACATTCCACCAGCAAGGCATGCTGCTAACAAAGATGAAGAAGTAAAGAAGGTTCATTTCCCTGAGAACCTTAATATGCATGAGAACTCCTCAGCTTCTTCTCTGGACGATGGTGAAATCCAGCCTGTGAAAGCCCAGCCCTTCCTGTTTGGTCCAGGAGGCCAAACAGATGATTTAGATGAAATAAATTTCCCCACAGATGGCCACTTGCAGAAGCAAATTAATATCTAGAATAATTCAAAATTTCAATTTAGGTATCTAAATCCGGGGTTTTGGGGTTTTGGGGTTTTGGGGTTTTGGGG